TGAAGACAGGAAAACATGAGGACAAGCGGAAGACACAGCTGAAAGAGCTGGTGCCCAACAGCAGCATCTTGGCAGCTGCTTCTGACCCTGTGGTGGGAGAACACTTGCCCTTATTTTGAATTCTGTGTGTTTCATGTTGCTTGCAGCCCAGTGCCTTGCTGACCACCGTGTGGCCCAGCTATCTACCCACTATATCTCACAGCATCGGCTTCTGCTTAGATTTTTCACAAGAGTGAGAAAAGAAAGACCAGCAAAGAACACTAAATACGTAAACACTGGCAATACGGGCACAGAACAACTGGACAGGGAGAAAAAAAGAGCTGAGGGTTGAAATTTACAAATAGCTCACAAAAAGTGTTTACAAGCAATCTGCATCCATTTAGTAAAGCACTGAAGAAATCCCACATCCATCAATAGGAGCTTAAGCATCAGTATTCATAGCACAGCCTGTGTGAGCATGGAGTCTCCCCAGATACTCACTGCATTAGGGCCTAAGTCTACACAGATCTAAAGCAAAGGGGAGCTGCATACACTAGATCCTCACTCTCAGGGAGTTTAGAAAGAAAATCCGGGGACAAAATAATTGCACAAGTAAATAATTAAAACTTGGTATATGAATTATCAAATTAAAGGATGTTTTTATAAGAGAGAACCTGGCCTAGTCCATGTGTTAGCAAGTTGGGACACCAGCCAGGAGGCTGGAAGTAGCAGGAAGGATAAACCTACTTTATTAGGAAAATGAAGCAGGGAGGAAGAAGGGCACAGAATTTGGGACAGGTTGTGGCATACGCAAAAGTCTTAGGATCAGAGACAAACACTGACTCTGTGGAATACAAAGGCCAGGGTAGCTAGCCTGTGTGTCTATATTTATTTATACTAACCAAGAACAGGTGAAATTCTGTTCAGTACATGCTGCTTAATAAGAAAATCAGGGCTGGGAGTGATAGGCTGTCAGACAGAATCAGGGCTGTCAGTGACAGAACACACGCTTAGCATATTTTGGTTGAATTCCCAGCATTGTCAGGAAGTAAGAAGAAAATCCAGTTTATAAATTAATTTTAAAACTTTTCCATCTGAAAAAAGACAGTAAAATACAGTGTTTATTGATGAAAGTATTAAATAATTTCTTCCCCTAAAGTCATTCAACACAAATTTTGTAAGCATCTCCCAATTACTAGGTGCTATAATAAACTCTAGGGATAAAGAGAGGAATAGGTTACACTCTACAAAGTGGAACAAGTTACCCCCTGTCCTGGGGGCACTGAAGAAACTAGGGTCAACAATCACAGCAAAGTGTGACAGCCCTTTGATGCGGGGAGACAGGGTCAGGGATTATGGGGGACATCAAGATAGGGGGAAATGAGCTCACCCAGGGTGGAACTATCTTGAAAATTAACTTATGTCTAGTACAGCATCACTGAATGGTCCTGGCTAAGTGAACTGTGCCTGAATGTAAGTATGAAACAAATCAGAAAAGCTAAACTCTCACACATCTCAAAAGGTATTGGAATTGGTAAAATGGACTTTGAAGTATGCAGACAGTTCTGGGAATCAGGCTGCCTCCAGAGGCTTGGACAGTCATTCAAATAACTGGATTTGACAATAACTGAATTCTACAATATGTTCTGAGAACCAAAAAAATTAAGGAAGGAAGGAAGGAAGGAAGGAAGGAAGGAAGGGAGAGAAGGAAAGAAAGAATAAAAAGAAAGAAAGAGAGAGAGACAGAAAATGAGAAAAGAGGGAGAAATGGAGACAGGGAAGGACAGAGGGACGACTGGATTAAACCTGACTCTATATACAGATCCAGTTCAAACAGACAGACAGACAGACAAGCCAGTATAGATCAATGCAGTATAGATTTAACTTGGTCTTTTGCTGAGATACAAACACAGGGCTTATGCTTCTTACAGAAAGCAAGACCACCATCCTTTTCATTCTGTAGTTTCCAAGATTATTGAGAAAACAAAAACCAGAGACTTGTATCTTTACACGAGTTCTACCAAGAGTCAGCTGTGTAAGGACAGAGCCCTAGGGTTTCTGGGTCTCAGTCTTGCCTTCTAAGTCACTCCAAAAAGTTATGAGCTAATTTATTGTTTTCAATGAATTCATTATTGACTAATGGCCATTATCAAAACTCAGGAGAACACAAAATTATTCCATGAACAGTATGCCAGCCCATTGTACATCAGATTTTATAAACAACACTTTCAGTTTACTGAGAATAACTTGGTAAGTGTTTAATGCCTGCTAATTATGAAACTATGTAAAGCTATATAGTAGTCCTGGGGCCGAGTGTCCTTGACTAGAAAAAAAGAATAAAAACACATAGAGAAAAGCCAGGTGGCATACTTTTGATGACATCTACGCCCTTCTCTTGTATACACGAGATGAGGAAAAGCATATATTGCACAAACATCAGATGTCCTTGTGCATTATGATGAGGACAGGAAAAAACAAGATTATTTCTGTTGTCGGACATCTCTTTGCACATCTCAGTCATTTTTACTCAAGAGTGTTTGGAAAAGTTGCCCAAAGTGAATGAGGAGTTACAATATGTGTGCCAAAGAAGAGTTTGATGATTAAAAAAAAAAACTTGGAAATGATTTTGTCACTAGATCCAAAAAATGACACACTAATTATATGCAGTGCTACATAATAATTCCAAGTGTAATTGCAGTGTAATTTCTCTGACATGTATTCACTATCCATCGCCATCAGAATTATTATGCATAGATTATGTCACCTTGTTTTCCTAGTTCCCCACTCTCTCTTTGAGGTGCAGACTTTTCAAATATGTAGAATCCTTTTAAAATATGTGGTGCCTATCATACCTCCCTCACCAAAGGCCCACAACATACGAATAACAACAATACTAATATGAATGCAAATACTCAGCATTCTGGAAGGCAACCCTGTATTACTTCGCAGTTCACTTTATAAATTGAGACTGCGGATGAGGAGATACCTTCTTTGTAGTTTTCCTGCAGAACAGAGGAGTCTGTTCTGCTCTTTCCTATGCTGTCCATGCCCTTCTCTCTCCAGTGACGCTGTCCACATCCTACGCGATGCCGGGCTTGAGGAATGAGCATGAGAAGCCAATGCCGCAGCGCTCGGGTTCTCAGCACCTCGGGGCCACAGTTCTGTGACCCCAGAGTTCCCTGGCGATGAGCTCAGCTGTAGATCCTCCCGCTTGTGTCCTATCCACACCCCACACCCACGCCCTGAATGCCCTGCTACTGCCATGGAAACAAATGCTGCAATCTCTGACAAACACGCAACAAAAGTAGCAAGGTACAGAAATGTGTATTTCTGATGGGCTTTCCTTATATCTGGCAATCTGAACAACTAAGCTAGGACAACAACACACAATATAATAATTGGTGAATTCCTACCATCTTGTTTAGTGAAGCTCTGTGTCATTTTTAATTTTTTTACTATTTTTTATTCTCTTTGATTGTTTGATCAATCTTGCATTCCTACATCTGGTAATCTGAGCAACTTCATTGAGGATAACAATATGTAATATAGCAAGTATTGTTAGTTCCTATCATCTTGTTTTGAAATCCTGTATCATTTTTATTGTTTTTGTGTTGCTTTGTTTTTCTATTTGTTGTTGTTCTATTTTTCTCTTTAAAATAAAAATTTTTTAAATTTTAAAAAATGAAAAAAGAAATGTGTATATGACAGAAAGGTGGAAAAATGGAGGAATTACATAAAGATTTGTTAAGTCCAGGATGGTTCTTGTCATGTGTTGATTTGATTGGACGACAGTGCCCTGTGGCTGGACCAAACACATGTTGCATGCTCCTGTGAACGTTTGTTTTTGTTTCTGTCTTTTAAGTTTGATTAGCGTCTGCAGTCAGTGGACTCTGAAGAAAGAAGGTTACTCTCCATAAGGTGGGCAAATCTCCACCCATTAGTTGAAGGCCTTAAAAAGCAAGCTCAGGTTTCCCGAGGAAAAAGAAATTCAGCCACCAGATTGCAACATAAAAATTCTACTGGGGTTTCCAGCCTTCAGTCTCAAGATTTCAACATCACTGCTTATCTGAATCTCCAGCCTGCCAGCTTGTGTAACAGATCTCAGACGCGCCAGGGCACACAAACTCATGAGCCAAGTCTACAATCAACTGATAGGGTGGATGGATGGATGGGTAGCTAGATGGATAGACAGACAGACAGACTGACAGACAGATGTTCCCTCTCTGCCCTTTCCATGTCTCTGTACATGTGTGCGTCTATATTTATATCTATGTTCATATCTGTATCTATCTGACCATCTATAGCCACTGGTTTTCCAATCATGGATTCAACCACCCATCAGCTGAAGATATTAAGAAAAAAAATGGGTCTGTAATGAAAATGTACAAATGTTTTTAGAGTCATTATTCCCTAAAAAATACAGCATATTGACAATTTACATAGCATTTCCCTTTCATTAGGTACAATAAGTGCTCTAGAGATGATTACCCGTACACAGGAGGATGTGGGTAGGTTGTGTGCAAATTCTATACCATTTTATATAAGAGACTTGAGCATCCAGGAATATTGCATGGCAGGGGTCTTGGGAATAATCCAACTACTTACATATTCTATTGGGTTTTTTCTCTGGAGAACTTTGCCTAATATAAGCATATTCAGAGCATTAAATATACATACAAGTTTAATGCCATGGATATATATATATATATATATATATATATGGGATAGAATCTAGGACCTTTGCACTGAGCTACATCCCCAGCCCTTTTTAAAATTTTGAAACAGGGTTCATTAATTCGCTAAGTTGCCCACACCTAGCTCTACATTTAGATCAAAGTTACATTCCATTTAAATTATAAGTGGTGTATTAAAAATAGCATCTCTTTACAGTTAACACATTAATATCAGAGAAAATATCAGAATTATAGGAGCTAAGATAATTTTCCACTGCCCACAGAAATCTTGCTGTGGGTGCCCTGGCAGATGGATATTCTCTCACAAGCTTCAGGGCTGGTACTTACTGACTGCAGAGTCATAGGCGGTTGAGTTGTGCTGGCCCCACGTGAAGGGGTACGGGGACAGGTAGGCGTGGGTACAGTTCTTAAACGGTGGCTGATTGGCTGGGAAGAGAGCAGAAGAATAATACCCATCACCAGGGATCAGCAATGATTCACCTCTAATGGGACAGAAATATGGGAACCTGGCACACAAGCAAAGCAAGATTACCAGTTCCATTGGCAAACTCAGAGTGTTGTTATATAAGGAACAAACACTCTTGTCAAGAAGCCCAGGGGAGCTGGAGGGTGGATTGATCTAGAATATCGTTACCAGTTATAACTCAATAGAATAAACACAAATGCTCTTAGTTTTAAGGTACTGTTGTTTCTACTTTTTTTTATTTTTGTTTTTGTTTTTGTCTTCTTGAGACAGGGTCTCGCTATGCAGTTCAGGCTGGCCTTGAGCTCACTTTGTAGCCCAGCCTGGCCGCGAATTTGCAGCAATCCTCCTGCCTCAGCCTCCTGAGTGCTGGGATTACAGGTGTGCACCACCACGGCTGGCTGAGGTACTGTTCTTCATTTACATTCACATAATCTCCAGTACCTAACAGTAGGTATTTAAAAATAATTACTCTAAAAATGCAACAAACTTAAGTTTCACATTCAGTAGTTTCAGTGACGAGAAAATTTCTTCTAAATCCATTCCACTTTTAGGAAAAAGAATCAAGTCATAGACCATCCAAGTTAATGACTTGAATACATTTTTAGCATTTGAAAAAAAAACCACGAGAACTTTTATGTTGTCACAAAATTAAATTTCATTATGCATATTATAGCAGAGTGAAGTGGTTTTTCTTTCTCTAAGTGTTTGGGAAAAACATTCCTCTTACCCAACCTAACTTGCTCTATTTTTCCAAAGTCTAAATAACTTCCATTGGCAAGTTGCTCACTTACTCTCCAGCCCAAAATGCACTTAAGGTGGTCAGTCCACCAGGCCCCTCAACATGCCTCTGCACCATCACTTGGTCCCTTTTACAGGTGACAATTTGCCATCAGCTTACATCAGTCTTCCGGGCCCTCATGTTCTTATGACATATTCCATAATCTTAACTGTTATGTAAATACACACTTTGATTTCTTTACAGGAGCATTTTATAAAAAGACTACTAATTCTGACCCTCAATAAGCTTTTGTCTAATAAACAGTAATTTCATTGGTGGATACAATAAAATAAACGCTAGCGATTGTCAATGAACTGATTTTTAGTGATAAATATCAGAAATACGGTTGAAAGAATGCAGCATAGTCTTAAAAAGTCATCCCATTTCAAAGGGGAACTTTAAAGTTTCAATTTAAGAACACAGACATCAAAAGCAAAGCCATTTTTTATATTGCCTACAAACTTGGGTAAAGCCCAAATAAAAAGCTTTCATCTGCTCCTGATGGTAATTAAGTTTCATTATTAAAAAAAAAAAAACAGATTTTTTTAAACTTTGAAGCTATGAATATAAATAATACCTCTATTTCTGGATTTTTACATTTGAGATTTCAATACTTTTATAGCCAAAAATAATTACTTGCACCATAGAAATAATAGAACCTTGAAAAACTACTGGAGATGTTGTCTGTTTTATTTGTTAGGGTGAGTACACTTTAAATTTGAGCAGAGTAACGGAATACTTCAGTTTTGCTCCTATTTTATGGTAGGAGATCATTACTCTTAAAGATATTTCCACTGAAAAGGAATGTCTTCATGACCTTTGAAGACACCGTGTTGAGATTTTGCACAGGAGAATCCAACCCATGACAAGCACTCTGCACGGAGTAAGAAGCTTAGAGACGAAGGAATAAAGCCAAGTCATACTTACTGTACCAGAACTTATAGGTGCTGGAATCATTTTCCCCCATGACCCCGCTAAACCAGCATCTCCAGAAGAACCCTTCATGGTAGAAGGTGATATTCGCTATCTGCACAGAACACAAACAAAGGAGCTTGCTGTCAACCAAGAAACAGTATCAAAATTATCACATTCAGGTAATTGTTAAGGACATGTATCTTATCGCAAATAATGATGGGCAGTAGTTTCCCACAGATCTCGTCTATCGATAAAGACTCCCACCACCGCCATTCTCTGACCTCTGGAGGCTACTTAAGGCTGCCCTCCCACTGCCCAATACCTCAATATTTTGATGAAGAAACGCACTTGCTGTTCACTTGAACACCTCTCCACTTCAGTCGCAAGAAGCCAATAATCCGAACCGAAAGCCACCAGAAAGAGCAAAACTCCCAAAGCTCCAAAGAGGGCCCCAAAGAAGATGGCAATATTTAATTTCATCTTCAATCCACTGGTCTACTTTTAAATAAAATAAGAAACTGTAAAACTTCAGATGCCTAGCTTCTCAACACAAACGCAACAACAAAAACAAGAGCAAACTAAGATTTTTGAGCAGGCAAGAACTTCTCAAGCAGCCTCCCCTAGCTCACGTTCTGTGGGTTCTCACTTGCACAAGCTGTGAGTGTGTGTCCCCTCTGCTCCACCCTGGAGGGACTCCAGCCCAGCAGCTGAAGATGGCTGCTATTTTAAGGCACTGATTGAAGAGCTGTCTTTCTCCCATGGGGATCAAAAAATAGCTGACCTTCCCTGACTATAGGGAGGTGTGGGAGGAGGTGGCTGGGATGAGTAATCCATAGAAATGGACAGATGACCAGTGGCAGTGGAGTCATTGACAATATTGGCCCCCAACCTGAAATGTCTGTTCAAGGTTTTCCTAATTCACAATGACCATTACAGCCCCCAAGACACATGAGATTCTCTTTGGAGATGTAAAAATCACAGCTATAGAGAACCACAAAGACTAAGTTGTAATTCCCCTCTTAATTCTTCATAAATGTCTGGGGACAGAAAATAATTTTTTGGTTCAGTGTCTTGGTTTAGCTATCCACATCTACACTTGAGAGATAAAGAATTTTTAATAGCAACACAAGTATTGACAGTATTTCTGAAATACATTTATGCATCACCAACTAGGGACATAAGAACAACATTTCCAAGGTACCCCACAGATCTCTAACAAGTTATTCTGAATAATTATCCCAAAAGTAAACTGATAGAAAAAGTCTCAAAAATATATTGTTTTCTGGATGAAGAAAGGACTTAGTCTACTCTTTATTTTCTCTTCAAAGTATCTAGCTTCGGGGCTGGGGATTTAGCTCAGCGGCAAAAGCGCCTACCTGGCAAGCGCAAGGTCGTGAGTTCGGTTCCTGGTACCGGAGAAAAACCACAAAAAAAAAAAAGTATCTAGCTTCTTCAAAATATTAATCATACTTAAAACCCATTCTGATCACATAATATTCATGAATCTACAAGTGATTAAAATATATGGTGAATATTTAAGTTAAAAAATCATTACAGTAAACAGTCATTATTATTCACCCCCTCAAAGTACCTCTTCTCACTTCAAGCACACTTATCCCTTCATCCTTGCCACTTTCTGAAGCAGTTCTGAAAGTCCTCTTCCCTAAGTGTCTTTATCAGAAAAAGATGGGATAACTGTGTTTAAAGGAAAAGAGTATTTTGCGGGGGATTAATGACAATGCATCTGTTACTGTAATAAATTTTTTAAATTCATATACTTCGTTTGATCAGACCTCATACATTTCCTTCAAGCCGCATTGCTTTACAGTTAGTTCCTTTGTTCATTTGGTTTTCATGTCTGAATATGTCAGACAGTGACTGTCTTTAAAAGGCATGTGTGCTATTTATAACCCACACTGCCCCTTTGGCGACCACTTGCCTAAGTCTCAACAATAACAGGGATTGCTTCATCTCCTCAGCAGGCATGTGAGCCCCACCTGTTTCCTTCACCCCTTCTGTTGGCTTTTGTTTGGGATAAACCCTGGCCGTGGGCTGTGTATGATACAGTGCTTAGCCAGGATGAAAGGCCCTCATTGGCTGTAGCTGCATGGAACCTGAGGTGCTCAGAGGCAAAGCATGGAGTTCCGAGCCCTAAGATCATGAACCATGAGGGTGGAATTGAATTTGAGAGCTCATCTGAGCTGACCCTTACCTAAGGCTCCAATCCTCTTTATAAGACTCCTTGAGCTACCCAGCCAGGCACTTCTAGCTGGGGCTACTGTGGGACATCAGGAATGGCCACACAGCTCTGCCTTACTTCCTGCCAAAAGCGGTATGCTGAGCGTTTACAGATATTAGTCCTAATCTGTCCTTTGAAATTACATAGCAGTTTTATTTTAGTATTAGGGACACTATAACTCTTGATTCATTTGGCAAATATTTATAGACAATGTATCAATTTCCTCTTCTCTTCTAAGATAGATACCATACTGTATCTTGGGATGGTGACAGCAAATAAATTATTCTCTTCTTCTGTTAGGCGGTAACTGAGAGTATGTTTCTTTACTTTGGCACCTAGAAAACTCAGAGGCAAAGTACTAAGGCAGAGGGCCTGATGGTAGACCAGCCTGCCCTCTGACTTCTGAATCTCCTCCCTGTGCACCCTGAGCACATCCCCCACTCCCATCTCTCTTTCTTCCTTGCTCTCACCTACTATTCGTACATACTTACATAAGCTGCCTCACATAATTTTGAGGAAAGATAAAGACTAAACAATGAAGCAAATCAACAGAGACAACTTGCAAAATCCAGCGTGAGAAGGAATATCTGGTTCTATCTGGCTTTGCCAATTGGTAACTTCCTTGAAATCTTTGGTCACCCTTCCATTTTTTCCCTAATTTGTATTATTTCCACTCACATAATTTCATTAGTAGATACCCTTCAATTCCTGGAAATGACTTTTAGAGTTTCCAGTCACCAGAGAAACTGTGGTGGAAAGTTCAAACACCAGTATTTTGAAATCTAGAGTATACTGAGATCATGAACACACCAACATATGCACGTATATCACCAGTACATACCCTATTACTCTGCAAAACTCTAGTTGTATTTCATTTGTGAGTGATAATGAACAAAATGTTCCTTTCCCTAAGGGCAAAAGTTCTAACCCTATTATTGCAATATTCTAAATTATCTCAGAGTATGTAATAAAATTAAACATCCTCAAAAGTCAGATATACTTTAATTTTTTTATTTTACTTTATTTTTGGTAGTACAAAAACCACTTATGACACTTTATTTGAAAAATATCAAGCATGATAGTGCTCAGCACTGAGCAAAACCAAGCACATTTGTAAAACAAATACAGAAGCCAAACTCTCATGGCTGAGAATCTATGTTCCAGAAAACTAGAACGGTTGACCAAAGAAAACTGAAAAATCTATTCTAAAATTCTATTTTAGAGTAGATTCTTTGTTCATGGGATAAATATTGTAGGTCCACCATATCCACAATAAGTCCAATATCTAAGTCTCTGAAAATCAAAAGCTTATAACAACACCAATCTGGTGGACATGAGGCGGTATTAAAATTAAGGACTCTCACCTATTTTATTGCATAAATATAAATATGTTTGATTACAAGGTCCCCAGGTTTCAGTGGGTGTGTTGTGTTAATATACAGGACATGCATGCTATGTCTTTTTGGAAATCCCCTAAATTTTGAATTTTAAAGCCTGTAAATTACAGAAAAGGGATTGTTGCCCAGATCCCACACCTAAGACCATGAACTGAATAATGACCCTAAAAATCAATTGTTCCCTATGAACGTTATTGAAATAGACATTTACTGCTTTGAACTACATGCCTCTTTGATGCTAGTGACCCTTTTCATCTTAGTTTTGTTTCATAGCTCCAGGTTCTTATGTGATATCCTCTTTCTCACTATCTCTTCCACTAACCAACATGACCACACGGTCATACCCTAAGCATTTTGAGATCCTGCTCACAGATCTTCTATTCTCATACATGTTACAAGAACAGTAAACTCTACCGAGCTAATAAGTGGTTCCATTTTTTGTTTACTGTTTCTCTAACTGCCACAATACTGTAGTAGCTCAATCCAAACTTACCGAGTTGAACAGACTTGGTTTGGATACTGCCATCTGCTGGCTACAGATAAAAATTAGCATCCCATAAAATATTGTCTGTTGTTCAGACTTTTTTCTTTTTCTTCTTCTTTTTTTTTGTACTGGGAATCAAACTCATGATCTTGTGCTTGCCTGGCAGGTGCTTGTGCCTCTGAGCTATATCCCCAACTAGTAGTTGTTAGGATTTTTACATATCAAAAATATTCTAGAGCAAAGATTTGCTAGTCTCATAGCATTTGATATGGAACAGCCTCAAATAAGATGTTTCGTGCCAAGGGACCAAGGCACTGATGAATACTTATACTAAACACAACTGTAGCAGGCTCTGGATATTCACTGACTTTGCCCACGTAGACAGTTTACTCTGTTAAACTAAGCCTTACTTACATGAATATCTCACACTGAAGAAGTTATATTAATATTTTCCACTCTGCAAAAGGGTTTGCTGCCTCATTGTGGTGCCATTCCACAAAACACTGTCCATGTGTTTAAGTGTACTAACTCTTGAAAGAATTCATTACAACATGCACTTCAGCAAGGTTGAAAAGAAATAGGTTTCAGTGACACTTAGTAAGAGCATCATAATCCAAATTCACTCGGCAAATTTTTATTTATTTGTGTACTGAATACTTGCAAAGACCTTGAAGAATAACTGATCATCATTTTCAAAAGATGTGACTCTTTGACTTTTGGAAGAATATTCTATTGTGCAAATCACAGAGATAAGACAGATGAAATACAAGATTAGGAGTAGAGGAAAGATTCCAGATGCCAGAAAGGCAAAGTCTTTCTGCAAAAAATCTTCAGATGGCAGAATTTGCTTAGGACAGCAGCCACATCATCAAACTAAAGCCACAGGTGTGCCTGTCCTCTTTGCAGCTACGGGACATACATTCAGTGAGGTGTGATTCACTGTCCAAACTGTGTGCATATAATGGTAAAGTTGTATAGATAAGGTGTTTTATGTTCTCTGAGTCATTTCATGATTTTGTCTTTGGTTTTTTGCCTCAATGTAGTTTCTTTGGAATTTATCCTCCTCAATGTTCTACCTCCTGTTGTTTGGTTGTTGGCCACTAAATTTGGAAAATTCTAACCCATTATTACTTCAAATAATTGTTCTGTCTTTTTCTCCTTTTGGTATTACTATGGTATATGTTTATTTTATAGCTCTTGAAATTGTTCCATACTTTGTGAATGTTCAATTCTTTGAAAAATCATTTTTCCTTGCTTTTCAGTTTGATAACCTTCTATTGAGCTATCAAAAAGCTCAATGTTTCTTTCCTCGGCTGAGCACATCCTGTTAATAATTCCAATACCTGGGCCATCTCTGAGACTGGCTCTAATGCTTGCCTTGTCTCTTAAGACTGTCTTCTCTTGTCTTTTAGCATGAACTATAGTTTTTGTTGTTTTGTTGAAGACATGACATAGTGAATAATAGAATCTCAGATATATGAGCTTTTAGTGAGCAGTTTCATATGATCTGGCCAGCAGTCAGTCTGTAATTAAGGTTTGCACAGTTGAGGGCTTCAGTTTCCCCTACTTCTCTGGTGGTGTTTTCTCCTCCTGTGGTCTTTTGCTCTCCCTAGAGACAGCTTCCTAAATGGGGTCTGGGTCCTGCATGTCCCTCAGTTGTCACCACTATTAACCTGGAGCTCTGCTGATATTTTTATAAGGTGTTGGGGAAGGAAATTTTTCTGTAATTAGATTTTTGTATTTTTAACTCTCCTTTAGCAGCATTTCTTTCTGTCTCCATGTGACACAAAAGGGTTTAAATTATTGCCAAATTTCCCAGGACTTATAAAATTCTGGTAGAAAATTTTTCCGTGATGAGAGTAGACCTTTGGTATGAAGAATAATCTGGGTGGATTTCAAGATTGTCCATTTTCCCCTGAATGTATTCTAATTATTTCTTTTTGCTTCTTCGGCTGGAAACATGAGATTTTTTTCTCAGGTCTTCACTGTAAGAACTTGATGGCATTTCCATCAGTGAAACCCATGAAAGTGTCAGGGGAATCACTAACGCTGGCCCCTAGGAGCTTTTCTCTTTCTGGTCAGTTCACACTCAGCCTCTGGGAATTCATCAAAGTTGCCATTAAACTGTTTCTTCCAGTTGCTAGTTCCAGTGGCTACCAGCTGATCTTATCTTCAATTCTCTGCATTAGTCTCTGTTCATATTTGCAGGTGGTATGTTGGCTTGTGATATCAATTCTCCAATATACCTGTGAAAAGTTGTTTTTTAGCCTGCCTGTATTTTTTTCTTATTACAAAAATTGGTCTGGTAACTTTCAGGCTCTTTATATGTTGGAGAAGAGACTAAAAGTACTTTAAATTTTTTATATTCATAGACTCATGGAACATGTATTCCTTTATATCTGTCTTCTTCACTAAGCATAACTGTGAGAAGAATCATCTATGATGTTGTAACAATTCATAGTTCATGATTTTTATTGCTAACTAGTACTCACTTGTATGGATATACCACATTTCTTTCTCCATTCATGTGTTGGATAGATATTTGGGTTGTTTTCAGCTCATACACTAGGTATACACTTAACTTTCTAATGAATCTCTAATCTCTTTTCCAAAATTGTTATACAATTGCACATTCCCACAAGTGTTATTTTTCATGTCTTACCAACCCTTGGTACTCTTTTAACTTTAACCTATAAAATGACAAGTCATTAATAAATGGCTATTACATAATATTGTCTTCTAGTTCTTGACTTTACTATGTGTCTCCAATTATATTTGTCTTTTTTCCATATCTCCTAGCAATGTTTTATAGTTTTCATTGTATTGGACTCTGTTGGGTCTTTGATTTGATCTTACCTCATCTAAAAGCTAAGGCTATTATAATTCACAGGTGCCAGAAGAAGACAGGAGACTCCCAGGTCAGAGACAAAAAAGCTATTTTACTCACAATACAGCAAGTAATATAAACAACTGCACATGTGTAATTAAATTTTTGTATTGGGGCTCCAACCCTGGGGCTCCAGCCCACGACAGTGATGTTAACAGATTCCTGTGGATGTCGCACATGCACACCATTGAGGAATACAGAGCTTATGATAGCCATTCCTTTGTAAGCAGCAAGTAAGCTTTTTTATTAGCCACTCAGCAGACATTACCTCATTTTTCAAGGTTATAAGATATATAGTCATCCCTGGGGAATGGCACAAATAAAAGAATGGTCTAGATCTTTGCTATCTTGGTGCACCCACCATGAAATGTAGGAAGGAGTTCAATAGATTCAAGGGTTGTCTGCACATCTCTAGTCATATTTATCCCTATGTAATGTTTTTAGGTTGGAATTGTCCTTAGCCTCCAATTTCTAATAGCACACATGAATAAAATTATATATTGACCTTGTATTCTGCAAACTCACCCAACTCACTTTATTAGTTCTGCATGGATTCCTTGGAATTTTCTATGTAGTGACTCTGTGATTTGTGAATAAAGGCAGTTTTGTATCTTCTTTCCCAATGTAACCCTTTATGTCCTTTTCTTGCCTGTTTTACTCAGCTGGCTGGTGAAAAAACAAACTGGGAAGCCAATAGCTAGGATCCCTGTGGAAAAAGCTTGGAGTCACTTGCAGGGGCACAGGGAGGCTGACTTGGAAACCAGCTGGGATGCCAGTGACATTGGTTATATGCATGGATGCTCCTGAAATTCACTGGAGATGAAGGACCACAGATGTCCTGCAAGCATCTCCCTGCCACACTCTACAGAAGCAGGAAGAGTAAGAAGCACACAAGGCTGGGAGTGAAGTCCCTTCCTCATGCAGCGCCCTTAGCACTATCTATTGGGAAAGTTTAGCATGGTGCCATTAGTAAAGGGGGAATCTTTATGGGGCCCACCCCCAGTATCACAACGCAGCCGATGATGGGAATATTTGAGGCTGAGAGCAATACATTTATAACTGGCACAGTCCACTCTACTCAGGTCTCAAATGCATCCTTTTATCCACATTGCAACTCTATAAAGCAAACAAAAATTCAGTTTCCACTTTACATTCTGTTCAACAGCAATACTTCTCAAATTGAGTCAACCTCATTGAACAGTCTGTTACATAAACATTAAATTGTAAAGTTAAAACTCCAACTACTTTTATTATATTTGGAAGGAGAAAATGGTTAGGATATTATAAATAAGTATATATGTAAACAGAAAAAATATTCAAAATTTAATTTGTATTGTAATTGAGCAGATTGTAATTGAGCATGAAGCCACAGATGATATCTACAGATTCTTCTTTTGCCACCTATTTCACCAAGTTTTACTTGTCTTCAGCCAAAATATCACCTGATTGGTACTGGTTAGTACATGCAATGATGAAAGAGTCTTTCATGAAGGATGTGATTCTTTAACAGTTTTGCTTTTTTTGGTTTGTTTGCAGTTTTCCAAATATTGTCCTTCTTGGCCCTACTGCATAACACCAACTCAAATTCTATTACTCCAGCCCACTGATTAATAGACCTTCCAAAATGCCTCAGTAGTAGGCTCATCCCCAAATTGGATACAACCTTTGTTTTGCCTCATGGTGTATCCTGGGATCTAAGGTGTCTAAACCAGCAAGCTCAAAGCTGTTTGTCCAGGAAACAATCACTTTTTCAGTGCTTCTGAAAGGAAAATTACCACTTTCTCCTTTTGCTTTCCAAATCCATATACCCTGGGAATGGAGTCTCATAAATGAACTCTGACTCAAAGCACAATCTATATGCATCAAGACATAAATCCATCCTTTTAGACTGTTATAAAAAATGTCAGCTGATTCAGTAAAAAGAGGCACTGTTATGGTTTAGTCTAAAATGTGTCCCAAAAGTCTTGTTTGGAGGTGGGCCCTGGTTGGAAGTTGTAGATGACAGGGGTTGTGAATTGGAAGTGTGTGTTCTTGTGCCCGGATCCTGCCCCATGCCCTCCCTGCATGCTGGTTTCTGCATTGCAGCCAGGTGACTATGTGTGGACTGAACCCATGAGTCAAAATAAACCTGTTCACCTTCAAATTGCAGGTGTGAGGTATTTTGTACAGTGACAGGACAGTGATTGCAGTAGAACGAGAACACTGATCAAGAACAATGATATGTGAAATGACATCATGGTGGTAAGATTCTGGGGTTACAAGGATGGTGGTGGTGTCACAAGCAATGTGAATAAAACCAGAAGATCCATATCCAGAATGTGTATTTATTCCACTGTGGATCACTGCACTTTTCCTTAGTGGAAGAGGATTAATATAATCAATGGTCCATCAGTTGCTAACAAGGTTCCTCCAGGGAACGACAGTGTAGGTATAGGACGGTCTCAATGTTCATCTCTTCTGCTGGCGGATTAGGCATAAAGCAAGGTTAAGGTCATATCGTTAAGTCTGTAGCTGTCAACTCTATCTGTAGCTCCTTTGTCCAAGAGCCTAATAAAGAAGCTTTGTGTGGTTGGTGACATCCAAAGAGCACCTCATTTTATCCATCTGATTCTTAAGTCTCTGCAGTGAAAACCCATTGATGGGCATTCACACAGGACAAAAATGTCTCCTAGGTCCTCTGCCCCTTTTGACACTTCCATTCACATACTTCTGTAGACTTCCTTGTTGCTAATCTGTTTCATCCAGCCTGTCAGAAGGTGGTCATGAACAGTATTCTTTGTTTCTGTCTATCTCTCAACCCAAACAAACTAGACAGCCAACAGCACCACTTTAAGTTCCCGCCCTCGGAATATTTTTATGCACTACTGTCTTCCAGAGTTGCCCCTAGGAAGTCCTGTAAGACTCCAGCTGTACACTTTCAGGTTCCACTAGAATACCATGCATCTATGTTTGTATGCCAGACTCAAGTTTGCTTCTTTCTTGGAAAACTGGAAGGAACTCTTCAGGAGACCATGGACAAGAATGGAGGTGGGAGAGGCAGGGCAACAGATTTCAGTGTTGAAGGGTTTTGAATCTTGCTACAAGCTTTGGCAATTTAGTTGTATTTTCTAGAATAGCCTCAAATTGATCTTCTGTTTGACAATGCACACATATACAACTTTATGTCCAGGTGAGTGCAGTTGGCTGAAAAATGGCTCTTCTAAAGATATTCCTGTCCTAATCCTTGCAACCTATGAATGCTACCTATGAATGCGACCTTACATGGAAAAATTAAAGGTGATCAAGTTAAAGATCAAGAAATGGGAAGACTGTATTGGGTTGCAACGGCAGGTGTCCTTAACAGGGGAAAGGGGAGATCTGACACACGGAGGAGACAGCGTGGGTAGAGAGCAGAGAGAGATTTGAAGATACTAGCCCTAACCATTGGAGCGATGCAGCTTCAAGTCAAAGATCACGAGCGGCCACCAGAAAGTGGAAAACGGAAAACTCATTCTCCAGAGCTTTGGGGGGGAGCACGCCCTCTGACACCTTTCAATACTTAAATATCTTGCTACCAGTACGGTGAAAGAATAAGTTCCTGTTGTTTACAACCAGGAAATTTGTGGTAATTTGTTACCACAGCTGTAGGAAACTAACGTGGGGATTCCGAGAAAGCACAGTGCACGACGGGAAATCAGGCGCCATGGTCACCTCGGGGCTCACTAGTGGTGCTGCCCCCAGGAGTCTCCTCGAGGAAGCTTCAAAAGAATAACTGACGCTTGCCGAGGATGTCACAGATCTGCTGTTACCTCAGAGGCTGGCGAGGGCACAGGCGCATCCCTACTTGCAGGGACGCGGCGAGGCTCAGCCCTCCAACGGCTGGGGAGGCCTGACCGAGGAGGACCTTGGACCGCTGCGGAGTCCTCGCGGCGCCGTTCCTTGGCCTACATTATTCCCCGTTTTACAACGAAACAGCTCAGAGCTGGGAGGGCCCCGTTCAGTGCGCCCAGGTCCGTCCCAGCCGACTGGGGGCCAGGGTCCACGGGACGACCCCGCGGCAGCACCACGCTCGCCACAGCGCACTCCCACCTTTCCGCCACAGGGCCAGCTCTGACTGAGAAAAGGAAGGGCGGCGCTGCTATCAGCACAAAACTGGAGAGCGCCGAACACGCTTCCTCACGTTTTTGAGGCACAACAGAACTGGGACCATTGGACCAGCACCGCCGCCCCGCGCTATCCTTCTGCGCACGCGCGCACAGCAGTTTCCGCTAGAGGCGGGGCCGTGGCGTGGAGCCGGACGTGGGCGGGGCTACCACTGGAGGCGGGGCCAGGACTGGACGCGGGCTGGGCGTGGGGCGGGGCTACTTCTGGGGGCGGGGCCGAAGAGCGGGGCGGGGCTGCGGCGCGGGGCTGTGGCGCGGGTTCCTAATCGTGGGTGCGGGGCTCTCCGCGCTCTCCGCCTGGGGATGCGGCGAGAGCGACGCGGGGCCCCGGGTGGGGACCCTGGCCCGCCCTCAG